GTTAAGATGGTAGCAACAATGAGATCTCCAAACTCAGGCCAAGACTTTTTCTTATAGCCTTTCGCATACCCCATGCGTTCCATGGCTCAGATGAGGTGGATACGCATGTGAGTTCAAAGATGTTCAAAGGGTCACCTTGGCGTCCCTCATGACATAAGGAAAATCACACCGCGTTTGGCCTGACATGTTCTGCCAATGGATCGGTCGGCCATGCAAGCAAAAGAAGAGTGAGCACACTGGAAGGAAGCTTGGGCGGGAAAGAGCCAAAGTGAAACTCAGTCGTTAGTAGTAAAACATGGTCGTTGCGTGCTACGAAGTTAAACTTCAACGTTGACCTCTAGGGTGTACAATATACCCAGTATTACCCAGTATCATCTTCGAACCAGTGTCATTTTTGGTTCCGGGATCTGCTGCTGCCAGGGACAGTTCTTCCACACATCTCCGCACGTCCCAGCACATCCCATCTCCCTGTGAATTCCTGAAAACACCATCCCCGTTGCTACCGGACAGTGAGGTCCACCACCACCCCATTTTATCAAACAAATGGTTGTCTAAAACAACTGTTCACACTTCAAAGGTCTGCACAAGTCATTTTATCTGACCAAAGATATCAAAATGGTTTCAAACACATCTAGCTAATTATATTTGACAAGTTGGCAAATCTGTCGCTGCCAACCAGGTTATTTAACCATATTTAACCCATTTTAGATAACCTTAAACAACATTAGTCCAATCAAATGTAGATAGCCGGTAGCAACGGGGCCGGGATAAAACATCTTACAACTATGAAGTTGAGCACACGCGCTTTTCATTGGGGGATTCGGATTCCACGCCCACGCCCCGGGACGAGTCGAAGCTTCAATATGTTCTCGTAGCTGCTTTGAAGGGGCCACCAACCTGGGCACGACTCCTCTCGACCTTTTGGGAGGCCCCGAGAGGCGCCGTGTGGGCGCCCGCTGGGCCGGGATGTGCGTCGTCATAGGGTGTTTCCAAAGCTGGGGCGTTCTGTTATTCACCCGGTCTATGGCTCGAAAAGAGACGCGAGGAGTCCTATGTTGCCAATGCTCAACACATGGCACGCCAACCAAGTCTTAGGGAAACAACATGACCCGAACGCTGACTTACGCGTTACTGTCCTTCAGTTCTCAGGTGGTGAGGTCATGTGAGGTCGACGGTTGCAGTATTATGACTCCAATATACTCCTTTCATTAATCATCCAGACCACAAGGCCCTAGACTAGACCGTAAAGCCTAAACCCTAGAAGCGATGGCCTCCAACCTAGAAGCGATGGCCTTCGAGCTTAGCTCGAAGGCCAACCACTGGCAGTTTCTATTGTTCCAAAGCCAATGTCACATGTCGACAAGAACTTTGGCACGCGCAAGTGATCCATCCTGGCACCCCCACCAGCTTTTCGCTTTGCAGGTGCAGCCTTGGCCGACAAAGAGTGCCACTGCCGCTGGCTAATCGCCGGAATCAAACCAGTCCCACATCAACATCTGCAGGTCCGGCGCCATCTCTGAAACGGCCTGGGCCTGGGTCCTGTGACACCATAATATCTACAAAATCAAGAAGGCCTGGGTTCATGATTGTCTCTGTTGCCATCTGACACCGTTTTGGCATGTGTGCTGTAGTTAAATCGGGCATACAATTGCAGTAATTACATCTTGAGCTGAGACACCGCCCTCGCCACCTCAGCCTCCTCGTCCTGCTGAAATTAGAAGTTGTGGATGAGTCTTGCAGTCTTGCCTGTGATCCGAGGGTGCTTATATATATATATAGCCTATAGTTCACCCCGTCCGTTGTACCCAAACAAGCTATTATCCAGTGTTAAGTGAAGTGAAAACTACAAATATATACACTGGGGAGAGTTTAAGCTCTGAGGTTTCCCAGAGCTCCAGTCCAAAAGAGTTATAAATATGTATACAGTATACAGTTGATTTAAATTGCAAACTTTGTAGCACAGTGTTGAAACCATTACCACAACATGGGGCCTCATCACCATTCCACCGACCGAACTGCATGTTCCTCACACGATTTGTCATGATTTGTCTAGAACTCCGCCCAAATATAAAACATCATAGCTATATTGCTACGACTACGAGGTGGAAGATCGCCACAAAAGCATTAATCAGCGGCATAATGTTAGATTGATTGTTTTGGAGATTGCTGACGGTTTCTGCAAGGCCGCATAGGATGCCATGACATGCTTCAGTCTGTCCTCTTCAGCCTCTCTCCCTGCTTGCTGCGGCTCCGCCATGGCGGACACAGCACAAGTCGCCGTTGCGCGTTTGTGTCTTGCGCAAAAGTCAATGTGAATGGGTTTGAGGCAAGCTTAGTGAGCTGAAATTCCATGCTCCATCTACTGGGTTCAAGGAGCTGCATATGTCATTTTGGTCAGAAGCTGTTGGATTATCAAAAACCGCCGACGATACCAAAACCTTCCAAGAGCGGCTTGTCAGGTTGCTTGTGCAAGGTACTGTAGCGGTTTCAAGTGCAAGTACGCCCGTAAGACCTCCGCTGACGGATCTTGTTGGCGGTGCGGTCTGACTGGAACTATTTCAAACCAAGGTGTCTCAGCTGTCCATGCCTGACAAGATTCTGGCTAATTTCTTTGATCCAGAAGCATCTGCAGTTAGTAGACCTGGGATGACATGGGGAAGTTGATGGAACTTGCGTTCTTTGATGATTCTTTGCTTTGTCTTTCCAAGCATGCAGATGACTGCCCACTATGAAAAATGGGGAGAGTCATGGCAGAACCGTGCGCAACCGTGAGCAAAACTAAGCCTGAGACTCTACCCGATGTCAGTCCAAAGAACGGTCATCAAGGAAGGTTCTATCTCAAAGAGGTTCTATCCTTGGGGCTATGGGGACGCACGGTGAGGCTAATGTCGTCCGGTTGTGGGAAAGTGCTTGTTTTTGATATTTGAGCAGGTCGTGAGGGCGGGGGTGTGTAACTGTGGTCAGGGTGGTGAACAACATGGTACTTGTCGTGTTGCAAGCTTGGGCCGCCCAAAGCACTACACTTGGGATCATTCTTCATCCGGCTTCGAGGCCATGACACACTTCAATCGACCGCCAGCGAGATCCGCCTCCCCGCCAGGCACTTGGACGTTGGAGTAGGGCATCGGCGCATTGACACACGGTACCTAACAACGCCGACGATGGGCGATGCCATTGGTGGCTTATCGTGGTTGATCTGTGGACGCACGAAAGAACACACTACAGCATTATATCTTCGAATTCATGTGGGCAGCATGAAATACATGTGACATGGAATTGGAAGCCATAAGCACATGTGTAATACATGTGAGATATATGTGCGCATTGGAATTGGATGCCATTTTTTCCTTGCTCCAAAAGCACTTGGCATTGGGTTCGTCCCATCACCCATTGACCCACCGCCTGAGGTGCAGCATAGGCTTTGGGCCTCGCAGTCGCGTGCCTGACGTGGATTGACTGGACCGATGCGGACCACATCAAACTTCATCAAACCACATTAAACATCATTAAAATACGAGAAACCCCGAGGAAAAGGGAACAAAGTGGATCAGGAAGGGAAGAAGTGTCCTCTCCCAAAACCAACAAACTCGACTGAGCCAAGCAGGATCTGATTCTTGCGGCATCGACGGTATGCTCGCGCCTCCGTCCGCCGTAGCCAGGCTTGATGTAGCTGCCTCGATCGAAGCAAACGACTGGCTTCCTTGGGACGAGGTAGCGGAAGCTGGGAACGTGAGTTGCTCAAGCAGCAGCCGACGGCCGAGGAAAATGTCCATTGTGTAAGCACGTATGGTTATCTTCGGGGCGGGCTCCAAGAATTGAAAACCACCTTGAAAAAACAATGAGCGAGAGAGAAAAAAAGAGAGAGAGAGAGTGTGTGTATGTGTGTATGTGCGTGTGGAAAACCGTGGAAATGTCCAAAATTCCCACCGCCTTGTGCAGCAACCCTCCCCCTGGCTGAGCTGAAGGGCCAATGACGTCTGCGACCACCTGGGGAGCGTGCGTGCGTCTACGCACTGAAAGAAGGGTGTCAAGAATCATCCACTAAATGTCATATTAAAACGTACCTCGGCGTAGCTTCCCCATAAATCATGACAGAGTCATGCAACCAGTAACCAGGGCCACTGTGCTACAAAGGGATGATTCACACAGGGCTGGAGGTTTCCATTTTCTACTCATTTAGGGTTCAAACACCATCCAGGTGTAACCCTGGAATTTGCATGAACTTGAATCTTCCAACCATGTGAGGAGTTTGTAGGCCAAACACGCAGATGTCGCTCCGCATTGACTACGAGAACGACTCCTTGCGCGTGACCATCGGACTGTCCGAAGCCACCGAAGCCCAACAAGAAGTTGGTCGAATGATCGGTAGCTGGCGACCAGGTAATGCGACTATATATAGCAAAACCAAACATGAATAAATCACTAGGAATCAAAACAATTTTGCTTGGGAACATCATCTGTTGCTGCCTTCAACCAATAAACCACTGGAGTCGGGCTTGGACAATGCGGCTTGACTTTCAGATCGAGGGTCTTCCTAGGTAGGAACGGGAATGAGTGACCCTTTTCTTTCTTTCTTTTCTTAGCGACGGAGGACACATGTGGACACTTGGAAAGCCTGGTGAATCCGGCTGCTCCGCTGGAATTTCGCCTCTGGGGACTTCGGCTTCGGTGCGGGCTCGACCCCCCACGTCACACCTGGAAGTCCAACGAGCCCGTCTTCTCGGTATCCAGGTGCTCGAAGAACTGAGACAAGTGCATCCCGGCCATTCGCCCACCACTCTCAAAGGCATTTTGGGGATATCACCCATAGAACTGCGGACCAACAGGACTGTTTTTCGAACAACATGGTGGGGTGTTTGTTGATCCGTCAAGCACCATCCGAGACTTCCAGGAATGCATCTCAATGTCCTTGGCAACTTGGATGTTCTTGCCACTCTTCCTGCAGTTCGTTCCAAGGTAACGCTGCCATAGAGCCACATGGTGGGCCACATCCAGCCGCCTTTTTTTCGCTTGAATCGGAGACCAACAAAAACAAGCAGAGAGTATCTTTGCCCCTCTGTAACGTCTAGATCTATGATAACATATGGTCAGTTTCCTTTCTCACGAGCTCTAGGAGCAGGAAACAGTACAATCATGCGCAAGCTTGTCCTTCACTCAGCCTTTTCATCTGCCTGAGCCAAAAGCCGGTGTTGGCATTTTGTGCGAACAAAATCCGCCACAATCCTGACAAACAGGATGTTTTGGACTAAGACGTTAACTCAAAGGCCTCACCACACCACCCTCACCGCCTAGTTTAGTGGCAGAGTTCAAGCAAGTTTGTAGCGTCGATCAAAGGATGCGTGTGTCTGTGTGTCTGTCTATGTGTGTGTGTGTGTCACATGGTGGGGAATACTGCTACTCCCTAGTGTCACAAATCTTCATCCACCAAAGGCTCATGGCCTCATGGCATCCTACCGGTGAAAAACGCATGCTTTCACCATGCAACCGCAACATCATTCACCTCCAGGCCCTGTAGCAAGCGCACGGCCCGCCGCCAATTCTCGGCGGTGCGGATAAGGGCCTGGAAGAAAGGGGCCCATGCTCTACAAAGAACTTGGAAAAAGCGGGAAGCCTGGAAATTCGGTTTGGAAGGTCTTACTTAGAAAGGTGGTCCCTAGATCATGACCCCTAGTTTTCATGGAAGGGGGTGCAGTGAACCTGTCTCTCACTTTTGAGGCCTTGGCCATGGCGAGTGATTTCATCAAACATCAAAACTCACATTTCTGCTTTTAGCATACAGCATACTCATCTGAATGTACAATAACATATTGGCTAGGACCATTTTTACAATAGCGGTCCCCCCCTCTCAGGTTGAATCAGGAAAAATGCACAGCAAAAGCAAAAGAGCCAATCCACCCTGAATGTGTCGCGCACAATAAATTGGCATCATGCTAAGTTACTCTGAGCAACCCACACTTAAACTTAAACCATTCCTATATTCCTGCTGTGTACTTGTTACTTGTTGGTCGGGGAAGCATGTCTGTTTACATGCATCATTCTTTCTCATAATGGATGTCAATCCTGTGAACATGGCCAACGGATTATGCGAAGTGCCAAGGGTGTCGCTACTAGGAGCAAGAAGCTATCAGCCCATCCCGCTCTCTCTCTCTCTCTCTCTCTGCCCCTCGCTCCGCCTGTCCGGCCACCGACTTCGCCCCCACTCGTTCCGCCAAGCCCGTCATGGACTCGCTCATCCGCTGAAGTGCGGCGCGCGCGGCGCTGCTGCCGTCGGCTTCGGCGGCCTGGGGGGGCCCCAAAACGACAGCTTTGGAAGCCTTTTGAAAACCTAAGTGTACCTATAGGGCATGCAACCACGATTCAGCTTCAGTGACACGCCGCGGAGTTGGAGCGGTCGTGATTTGGAGTTCTGAGAAAACACAAGTCGCTCAAATTGAGCTGACTAGCAAAAGGCTAGGTCTGAATGGGTAGAGCTAAGCTTGCTACTGCATGACCTTAACTCGCTTAGTTCAACCTCCTACAGCTATATTTCATGCTAACTGAATTCATGTCTGAACCTACTATCCTCTCACCACTATTTGCTCTCCTGCTGCCTCCTCCCCATTCCAAGTCTCAAAGTCTTCTTCAGGCAACACGCCAGTGATAGCCAGGAAATCCTCGCGGGTAGGAGCTGGCAAATCCGGATTTTGTGGGAATGCTCTTGATTGTGGAGTTCTTTGTCCACATAGCCGGCAATTAAGCAATTAATACAAGTATATACGTAAGGATGCTATACTACTCAATTGTCTGGTTTCTGTGGAACATTCTCAACAGGCCCAGGGATTCCAAAGTTTGGTCTGAAAAAGCAGGTATTGGCTGCACCCCATAATTATGCATTCAACATTCAACTTCTGGACAGAAACCTCACTTGCTCCGCGCGCTTGTGCTTGTGGTTGAGCTCCTCTTCATCAAAGTAGAACTCACCTGCAACATTGAAATGAGTTGGGCCTATCCTATTACCAGCAACAGTGGATGATGATGATGATGATGATTATTGTTATTATTATTATTAATAGTAGTAGTAGTAAAACTATTGTTCAAACATAGTTATAATTCTGATAATTGTCTACTGATTGTTACAGGCTACAGGCAAGTTTGGACAGACCCAAGAGAATAGGTTCTACACCCTTCGCCCCTTCGAAGATGGCTTTCTTTTTACTTCTGACCGCGACCCGCCTGAGGCACCTGCGACTTCCAGCTCACCGGACACCGTCCACCAATCTGCGAACAACAAGGCTTCAGCGGCGTTCCTGGTGCGTTCCAACACTCACAGATCCGAAAAGGCTACTAATATGATCACATCAACAGCAAATAGCTGTGAAAATGACCGGACGGGACCGGACATCCTACCCATGATGGCTGGAAGTTCAAAACCGCTTTGTTAGCTCTAAGTCCCCTGCATGGCGCGCCCTTCTGCCCTTCTGCCTCTCTTGGATTCTTAAATGTTCCCTGTCAACATGAGAATTATGATAGATGTTTCATGTCCCAGGGAGGGGGGCCATATGAAGTTCAACAATGCAAAGGATTGTTGAGACTTGACCACGATCTTGACTAGAAACACCCCCGGTTAAGCAAACATATATTCAAACATTGCGTGGACGAATCGTTCTTTCCTCCTTCGTCCTCTCGTCCCGGTCTCCTCATGTTGATCCCCACGGCTCCCAGGGTCGCTGGGCTTTCGCCACGGCCAGCCCAGCCCTCATCGCCCATGAAGGCCCTCATTGGGCGCAGTGGCATGAATGAGGCGCAATGATTGAGATTCTGACAGTGTCAAGCAGGGGGTGACGAACAAAAAAAAAATTGTGACAATAATTTGATCTTGGAGCGTGAATGTTAGTCGTTGCTATTGATTATTATGGTAATTGCCTTGGTTCACGAAGAAAGGAGTCCCAGGTCACTGACGGCACCGAAGTTTGATGATTAAATTAGCTGACCTTGCTGGGCCTCCAACCAACAGCGAACGGCACAGGTCCTCAAAACCCCCAAAACAACTTGTTCCTTCTGTGCTGACGACGTAGCCTTGACCAGAGTCTAGGTTCTGCCGGGCACTAAACGAAAACAACAAGAACAACAAGAACAACAGCAACAAATATCGGCGGCAGTAGCAATTGCCGCCAGAATTAATCACAATCCAACAACAACGGAAAAAATTTGTTCGTAGGGTAGTGGTATGCTATGAATTTGAGACAAGCCCCTTGTTCGATGTAAGCATTGTCGCCAGGAGTTCTGGTTACTGTATACATTACTTTCTGACCAAGAGGCCCAGCTGTCAGCATGTCATCGGCCGCAAACCAAAGCTCATTGGCCAAGTCCTTGCGATCCAATGCCGATTGATCAAGGACTCAAGGACTGTTGGATTAGTGGTGCAAAGAGCTAGTCCGCTTTGTCGGGTGTCAGCTGACACCGTCTTCATTGTGTGGGTTCTTCCGTTGTTTGGCCCACTGCGACTTCCCATGGTAGTTAAAACGTACGTCGAACCCTGTCCAAGCAATCCATGGGACCATGGGACAAAGCCAAATTCAACATGCCCCCACATGAGTTAAAGGACAAAGAACAACGGTTTTATAAGCATCACGAACATCGGTGGAACCCTGGGAGTTCATCTGTCAATTCACACATTTTGAAGAGACAACTTGAAACAACGCAGTTCACACGTTGTTTCACAGCAAGTTGAACTGCTAGCCAAGGACCTGAGCTTACACGAGGCCTATGCCGAGCCTGCGCCACATTACCCGAAGCAAATGTTCTTCCACAACTAACCATTCATTCAGCTTACAGTGCAAACCTTTGAACCATTGGGCCAACAAAAGTCCCAACCTATGTTTGTGTGCCCTCAAAATCCTTCCCCACACCTCAAAGCAAGATGCAGTTCCAAAATTGTTAGAACAATAATCTCATCCTAATAACGTCACTCAACTGCCTCATCTGAGTTGAAAAAGAAAACCCGTTCTAAAATCATTATCCTAGGTTGAAATCACCGCAATTCCAAGCGGTGGCCATCATGTACCCAACATGCGCTCATGTATATGGTTGTATGTTGTGTATGCCCTTTTAACAGCCGCGTTCTTACTTACAGAGTCCAATGGTTCCAAATGTGAAGCTGAAAGTAGCCATCCTCTTGCACACAGAAACAAATTGCCAAGACTATACACCCTGGAAAGCACTTGGACAAGTGGTCAAAGTTGCAAAGGGGTCTAGCGCGGATCTAGCGCGGGTCTATCGCGGATCTAGCGCGCTTCCCTGCCAGTGCATGAGGCCACCAAACGTCTGTGATCAAGAACTCGCTTTCTCGTCTCTCAAACAGTTACTCCCTTACAAACAGTTGCCGCCTTTTTCAGCGCGCGCTGCCTTTCAAACAGTTGCTGCTCTTGTGCCTGTGCGGGTGTGTGTGTGTGTGCATGTGCACCAATGAGTGACCATTACAATCAGCTCTTGTTTGTTAATCTTTTCTAAGTTACCTAAGTACTTGATCCTAGCGCCAAACCTAGCGCGAACCTAGCGCAACCCTGCGTTTTGCTAGCGCGACGAGGTAACATACCCACTTTAAACACCAGAATACCAAGCGGTGGCCAAGCGATTTCTGAACCTCTGGGAACATTCCTTACTTAATACATATTCCCGTTTTTTTTTTTCGACTCATCTGACAACCAATGGGCATGTTGAAAGATCCGCTAATCATCCCGATCGATCTGGGCCTCCTGGTGATGTGAGGCAAAACACCAACATGTCGACTCACCCGAAAACCATCCGCCACGCTGGCGGATGTCTGCAGTGACTGCCCTGCACCTGAAAAGAAACGAATAAGAACATGTTGCCAACAAATGGCAACAAACACTAACTAACAGCCGGCTTAGCATGAAAAGCAAGTCTTAATGGACAAAGGCCACGCATTCTTCAGAAACAATCAATAGGATTCTCTATCTGGTGAGGATGGCGTCACTTTATCATCACCCAGAAATTTGAGGGCTTAACTCCTTCGGCGAGGCTCGATCACAAACTGGTTCCCGTGCTCCGGGAGCGGTGGTTCCTGCCCACCTTTGGTGGCGATGTGGCAACATGCCACCGGTGGCGAAGTTCAACTGCAGGTTCCCCGTATTTTTTGAAATCATGAGGAGGAACTCAAAAGTCTAAACTGGTGCAAGCAATTCAAAACGCCACTTCCTAGATTCAACCAGGGATCCAGGTCAAGTGCGTGAACTTGCAACATCTTCTCACGGATGGAACCATCGGCAGGGCTGCCAAACACTTTGGAACCATGGAGAAACTGAACCTGACAGACTTCTCGACACAGCACGGGCGCCTGTTCGACCTGGCAAGGGCAGGGAGAAGTTCCAAAGGGACCTGGAAATGACGAGCAGAGAAGAGGTCTTGGAAATTTCAAAGCGTGGAGGAAACCTTTAAAGAAATCCAACTACAGTAATAGAATTGTTATAGAGATATAGCCATAGCCTATATTATAGCGATATAGTTCTATAGATTCTGAACTCTCATAGGTCGGACCCTATTCAAGGATTCACTGATCTGTGATTTGGGGCAAGGGTCGCTATTCAGTATCTGAGCAAGCTGCAAGCTGCCCCGCCATTCAGGTACACATGCCCACAACCTCTATGTGAAGCGATTTGGTACACCTCTATGTGTATTGACTTCTTATATGTTAACACATCATAAAACCACATCCTCACCAATCAGCCCTGGCAGCACACGAGCTGCAACAGCAAGAGCTGAACGATCCATCGGGCAGCTCGTCGACCGGCGCCATGCATTGCCGGAACAAAACCCGTCGGTGCTGTCGTCGTGGTGCTCCCGTTGCGGTTGAAATTCCGCATTGGCAGTGATGGCACCAACATCAAGTAGCCAAATGCAGTCTGCACTTGCAAAGTGACATGCTAATGCAAATCCCAAGTCCAAATCTACCTAAAGAAACATCATGTTCCAAGCATTAAACAGCACTTCTCGCAACAAATGCAAAGAACCACGGCATACGTTACATGTCTGCTTTCTCAACCTTATCACTTGTGGGCATGGTGCCACCTTGAGAGTACAAAGAGTCCGCGCACTCTAATACTTTCAGCACATTTAATACCTTATTCATCCTTATTCATCCTTATTCCAGTGCCCAGGGCACAGCCTCTCAAGTCAACTCATGAAAAGCTGCAAAGGGTAAGTGTCCAACAGGCCTCCGCCCATCAAGAAGCATGGAAGAACATAATCCCTATTTGTGACCTTTTACGGGCCTGTTCGTGACCTCAAACCAGGGGATCAAGAGGTCATTGGCAAGATGCAGGTAGGCAAATATTCAGTGATTAATATGGATTGTTAGGGAGTGGCATGATCTGAGATCCGTGGACCCAGTGATCTACCTAGCTCGTGGACCTTCTGACCTTCAAATCGTCACTTTTCACCACCGGGCGGCGTCGACCTGCGACCGGCCCATGGTGAAGATATGGACTGTACAAATGGTAGAGACGGTAACGTAAGCTATACACATGAACACACATGAACACACAACCAAATCAACCCAAACACCGACCATCGCCCCCTCCACACCGACGGTGAAAGGATGTACGCAGATCTTTCGACCCAGGATTGCCTACGGTGAAATCCTCATTGGAATATGTCAGGGCGCCCGGGTGAAAAAAGTAGCCACAGGCAGAAACAATCAAAGAGCCACAGTCGTATCATCTATGTATACTTCGTACTTGCTTGGGCGGTCCTACTACTTACTCCTCTAGTCCATAATTGGGTGAAGAGGCCCACCAAAATGGTATATATACAGTATATATATATATATGGATCCATCTGCTTGCCTGATCAGCGGCAGACTCAGGCATGTGGAAGATTCTGAGCAAACGCCGGATCTCGTCGACCTCCACCTGCACAACTCTGCAAAGACCCAGAATGCAGTGCCTCTTCATGTTGTATTGACCAGTGCGCACCTGGACCTCGCGGCCCTGACCTAAGGACCACACCTGAACATCCGGGTCCAAGGAGTGTCCAGCGTCTTTCGGCTCCATGCCCCTAGAAGTACTTCTTTCCAGTCCAACTCTTTGTTGAAAAGAGAAACAACTGCGATTCCATAACTCACCAACTTCGGAGCCGGTAGCATTGACACCAAATTAGTGCAAACTTGCAGAGTTGCAAAGGTTCAAACCGACCTGTCTGTGAATTTGTGATTGCATGGCTCCATACGTTTGTATGAAATATATCAACATTTGTTTGCATCTGTTGGTTGCTAAGCGAAACTAACAATGCTGGTAATTAAATTCAAAGCATTTGCTAGAACAACATACCGTTGTTGGGTGGCGTTGCCCTATCTTGAAACCCATCCACAAGACTTTGTGCCTGTGACTGCCAACTCACTCCATTTTCTGCGCTCAAAGACCATTGGTCCACTGCCAATGTCCCTTGTTCCTTCGGCTCAAGCCTATGACATTGGCAAGTGGTGGGCCACATCAAAAAACATGCATCCAGAATGCAGGACCGGCCAACTGACCACGAAGCCCAGTTGGAAGCCCCAAAGGCCCCAAAGGTGAAGCCCCATGATTTTCTAAGTGTTGCCCCGCAAGTTCTGCAGCTTCACCGCCCCGGAACTCCAAAGGAAAGGAGATCTCTCTGTGGAAATGGCCAAGTCATAAACGCTTCCACTCTACAACCCGGCGGTCTTAAGGGCCCATTTTACTTCTTGGGAGGATTCTCACAACTAGGCTGTTAGCAAGACCCCATATGGGGCCATCACTTCGTCCTGCCTTCAAAATCTGTTTGAGACGAAAACGCACATGGTCATCCACGTGTTTTCAGGGGACTGGCTTCTACTTTTGAATGGTTGGAACTTTCAGTGGACAGGGGTAGTGGGAGGTTTGCTGTTTTCATTTTTTGCGTGTCTCCCCTAAGCAAACAAGCACGGTTTGAGGCAACTATTGGCATCCTAGGCAGTGAGTGGCCGTCCAATGCTCTCAAAGGCCTTCCATGGCATTGAACACATTCTTGCGTAATGTCCGTCATGGCTTTGGTCCGACTCCGATCTTAGCATTGCTGGATGCTGGGTGACAAGTTTAAGCAGCGCCATTGAACCTTCGACCTTACCAGAACACAGCCAGAAAATGGCAGAAAAGCCTTGAGGAATAGACATGGTGCATCACCTAACAGCAAGGCCTTCCGCACTGAACCTCTTCCAACATTCTGATCTGGTCGAGGTCACACAAGCCTCCCGATCTCACGACTTGGTACATCAGCAGCCCACCGGGTGTTCAGCACACCAGGCAAAAATGCTGACCCTGACAGTAAAAGCTCTTCCCCTCTGGGGAAGGACAAACCTCCGGCCAGCACCTTTTCTTATAGGCTTCCAAACATGCAAACACGGACCGCGAACATATATGAGGGACGGTCAAAACTCCTTATTCTTCTTCAACAAACAAATGGACGTCATCGGTTTTGAGTTGGACCTTATCGTTTTACAGTGTTTTGAGTTCGTCGCATACTTATGATCATATACAGCGCTGGGGTTATCGGTTTTGAGGTGGACCTTATCGTTTTGCAGGGTTTTGTGCACAAACCTACCCCTCTTTACTAAAGTGGTCTTCGCATGTTTTGACCGTGGCTCATATGACTTTTATATATATATATATCACAACACATCACATCAAATCACATTCAAACCCGAGGGGGGCTTATGTCTTTTGTCAGATGCTCGGCATAAGCAAACCTCGGAGGTGGCCCCAGTTCTATTCACCTCATCCACCAAATCACCGAGTTGGACCACCGGGAACTGTGAAGTTCCTGGAGCCATGAAAATAGAAAACGTCACACACACACACAACCCCGGACCCCCCAAAAAATAAGAACAACCACAAGGGGAACCGGGAACCGGGGGAACCCCTCGAAAATTCTGGGCTAAACCCCCATGGATGTACATCGTCTTTCATTCTTGCTTGGGAAACTCCAAACGGATGACAGCCTGTTGCCCGAAGCTGCTGGAACGGCGCTGGCCGGCCAACCCAGTGAAACGGGGCGAATGGTTCGCCCATCGTGGTGATCGCAGGGCCAGCAAGGCATGGCAAGGCCGTTGAGCAAAGGCGATTGGTGGCGTTCCAAGGAGTCAGTGGCTGGCCCCAAACAAGTCTCCAAAAAGTTGAACTGTCCCAAGCAAATGGCATCCTTTCGAACAGGCACAGCCATGATGCAGGCCTCCCGCGCAAGCCCAGATCTCCCCATCTCAGGGGAGAAAGGCCATCAGCGACCTGTGTGACGCCAGGGGCCCCACCCCTGGAGAGGTTGATACAAAGAAAAACGATCACATGTTTGTATATAGTATAGAGTATGGAGATGTATGGAGGACATGTTTGACATTTTTTGGAGCCACTAGGTTCTTGAGGGGAATGCACATGGAAGTTCGACTTCAATTGGTGTAAGCTCTGCTGAGGTTGGATCCTGGGGCATGTTGAGGGAAACAAGTGAGCTTCAACTGGGTGCAAAGATCTTGCCTCAAGTCCTCAATGTAAAAACGTACCACATCGCGATTACCACCAGGAGTTCCAAACAGGTGCCTACTGGAGGGTACAGGTGCGCATGATCTACTCACTTGGGGACTAAATACTGACCCTTTGGAACTGGTGTGCAATTGTTGTACATAGAATTTGCTCACATCTCATCGCTTTAATTCTCTACCATCAGGGGCGGCTGATGGCTACAACCAGCGCTGTAAAGACATGCATAGCAAAACCAATATGAAAAGGGTGCCCGAACATCTACAAACACCGCAAAACCACCGCATGCCGCATGTCTCACCACCGCCTCTACCGAACAGCGCAGTTCGGCCCGAACGAGGATTTTTCTCCGATGTCTGGTCGATCTTAAGAATTCGGTCCGTTCTATATAATTCTACTTGTTCAACTTTAACTCTTGTTTCTAATGGCGTCCCTGTTACTAGTAGTACGGCCAAAAGCCCCTAGTAGCGTTCTTGCGTTCTTGCTCCTAGTAGCGATGCCCTTTGCTCCTAGTAGCTACAATTAGATACAACTAGTATTAGAATTAGAATCTGTTCCGTTTTCCTCATGCGCAGTTCTGTGTTCCTCCCATTCTTCCCCACCTCAGATTGACATTGGTATGCTGGCCTGGCCGGCGGAGAAGAAACCTCCCACTGGGTCACCATCACTGGGAAGGTCATGATTGAAGCCAAGCTGTGCAACAACCACTTCACTACGGTGTAGTGCACTCAGTTCAATTGAGCCGTCTCAGCCAAAATTAACTTCACGGGTGTGTCTTATCCAGGCAAAAAGATCCCTTCCCCAGCCGATGCACGGAACTCCTCTCCCATCCCATATTGCTACTAGTAAATTGCAGTCTGTCAAATCAGCCAAACATGTTGTCGACACCGACACCCATTTGAGAAGGATGAGAGTTGTCGAATCCGACGTTTCGCTTTCTAGCAGGAGGCCCATGGTCCAGTCAGTGCCAGTGCCTCAAGCAATGGGTGAACTTTCCGTTGCCAATCACAGACTTCATTAATCGTCTCCTCCAAACCTGCGGCACGTTCTCAACATCATCAGCCAAACGAGCAGTCTCTCTCTCTCTCTCTCTCGCACGCGCTCCTCCACCCCGCCCCAGAGTCGACCAAAACCTTGAAACACCCGGCCGAACGACGTTCTGGGCGGTCGGATGCATTCCGAGAGGCGCCGGTTTTGTCGATGGATCAAAGTGACTTCGTAGCCCATGGAGAGCATGTCGATGCTCGTAGCTGGACCCTTCATCCGCATACATCCCTTGACAAAGGTATCGATATCCACATATTTGTCCTCAGGAATGAGCTCCAAAAAGGCTCTCAGTAAGGCTCTCAACGGATGCTCGTGTCTGGTGGAACGAAGACGTGTACGTCTGGGCTGGGCCGCTCAGGCTTCATTGAACATATCAAGTGAAAATCTGCAAAGGCAAACCTGAGCCTTCCGTGAAAACCAATTCCCTAAATTCTGGATAGACCGATGAATTTCCCTGCCATTTTTCCACGTCGAGGCACATCAGCCACACCCAGGAGCATGTCAAAGAAGGTCTTGGCATCATGAATCTCCAAACCAAGCGAAGCCTCAAAGGGCATGGATGGACAACAGCATTGAGACAAAATGATAAATTGTGTTTGGCATTGCCTCTCCGAACAACTTGTCAAAAGAAACGCAAACAGTTTTGTTTCCTCGCAAGTGCCTTTCATCCCTTAAAGGGTTCCACGAGAACGCATAGTGATTGGGTTGCTGACTGCGGCCCCACATCAAACAAGTCATTATGATTGTTTACTGTTCGATGCTTTTGAAAAGCCAATGGGTCAGGGTTGGGACGCATTCGAGGGGAGTTTATAAATACATTATGTTATATATACATATATAGTAATTAGCTATAATTAAATGTATAAGTTAATAGTATCATATGGAGTAAATATTCATGTATATTCACAGTATTTGAGACCCCGACCGTCTTCCAATGTGTGTCCGTGCTTGGATGTCCAAAAACGTCCAATACGTGTTTGCATGTCTTTGGGGCACAGGAAGCCCCATGTTTGCAACGACCCAATGACCGGGCAGCACCGTTCAGCCAAGGCAGCCAAGTAAATGAGCGCTGATTCATTGGAGACGTAGCTTTCAAAGTCGTCCCATGAAATCCTCACCGAGCAACATAGATCTAGAGCATCAAAGAAAATAAAGAAACCCCCATTCATCCCCATTCTATGGGCCTCTTTCAGGATTGTCTCTCTCTCTCTCTCTTTCTTTTTGTGGGGGCTTCGCTCTCTCGCTGCTTCAACGAGCCCAGAAACCCCAGTGGAACGTGCCATAAGCCTGAGAGGCAGCCTGAGAGAATATGATTACGCACACGGGCCACCTTCCAAAGGTAACACATGTCTGACTCTTGACATAAACATGGGTCTGGCTTAAACACCTGAGGTGGCCTGGCACCACTGTTGAAAGCAGACTGTGCTCACCGAGGAACGAGAACAAACATAAAACAGTACAACCGGTTGTTTCTGATGTGTCATTGCCATCTACAAAATGACTTTCCTTTCGCTGCTCTGCTCTTCATGGTTGATATTTGGATCACTTGTGAGTCCAAGAGCACAAATAAAACAATAAATCACATATATATATATATATAACTTCCGTAAAAGAAGTCCCCATCCCTCTCACTAGGTCTCACTGTTGGCGAACCGCGCCTCCCGGTCTTGGCAACATCAATGGCTTCACAAAGTCTCTTCAAGCCTGGTCTCTCAGTCTTTAATGCTCCCTGTTACAGTTGTTTGGACGCTTAGTTCGGTGGGCGCTTGGTCGATCGACATGAGTGCTTTTGGGGGGTGCAACTGGCAGCAGCAAACTGATTTGCTGGGGCGGGTGAAGCTGAAATGGGCCTGCCGCAAACTGAGGAGGTTCTCATGGTTTCTCCAACTGGGGTTCCACATTGCGGACAAACCATCGCAAAGGCAATAAGCAAGCACTTGCTCTGGAAAACAAATTGTTTCTCGAAAACAAAATCATGTGTTTGGTCACCAATCTACTTCTGAATTTTTTGATTGTCTAAGATCTCTTTGAATACCCCACGTCCAGGGACTGAACAAGGTCGTGAGGGGATGAGCCACCAGTGAAACTTTGTGTGGTGGAACAAACTCAGGATGGGTCAAGCATGAGTCAACCCAGACCTTCTATGAATCGTGGAGGGTCGTGAAAACAAACACCCTGCCGACCCTGCTTTTGTCCTCGAGGGCTTCAAAACGCCTCATCCGAGTTCTACAAAAACATGTTGTTTTGGTTCCGGGTTTGGACCTGTTACGAGACTCCATGAAGAAGTTCCACTTCTTGTCTTGCCCAGTGGCGGTGGGCATCGTGCTGCTCTTGGCTTCGTCGCTCAGCAATCTGATTCCTCCAGGCAACGCAGCAATGGGTTTCTCCTCTCCCAAACCTGCCTTTCGGTTGGATCCGTCAAAATGACCATTGAGGGAACCCCGAGCTAAAGAACGATAGACCATTGAATATTCTGAAACTGCCCCTGAATGGTTAATCCAAGCTTTGCCATTCCATCGGAGACGGACCATGCCCCCTCCATCGGAACTTTTCATTGTCATACGTAAGCAACATGAGCAAATTCTTTATGACGCATGACCATGGACTCCGACAGGGAATATGGGCTCTTTACCTGAATGTGGCGTCTCACACCTTGAAGTGTGGCTCTACATTGCACTCGCAACAAGTAATTAGTTCAAAAGGCTTCTAGCAATCCAGCGTTTGTATTACATCAAGACTCAACATTACTGAACAAACATCCATGTGCTGCCCCCTGCTCGAAATTAAGCGATCATTCTTCATGACATACCTGAAGAAGCGCCCATGGCCGAATGGTTATGGCCCATGGCGGTCTTCCGCGCGTCTCGCCGTTCGTCCCAAGCGTCTGATTGTCACTTTGGGACCACTTCATGGCGTGGTCCACGAACATTCCCGTCAAGACCTCAGACGAAAATTTGCGGCGAGCGGGGCAACAGCCGCAACAGCCGCACGCCGATGCAGGAAGCCCAAATGCGGCGCGCACCACCAGAGCCCGCAAACGGCGCCAGCCGCAGCACCATCCCAAACAAACGAAAGTTAGACGTCAAACCTTAGTTCCGGATCACCATTGCCTGGTGACCCAAATTTGTTTCTAAACCTCAGCAAGTCAGGTAAGGGTCTCGCGTGAGCCCCAACCGAAACGAGCATCCAAAGGGTTTTGGGGGCGAGCCAAAAAAATAGATCTATGTTGACATTCCCGGGCAATGTGTGAGAAGGACGCACACTGAACCGAGCATCCAGGCCAGATGCAAGAGCTGGAGAGTTTCGGATCACCTACTTTACTCATAGACGCAGGGCTCAACAAGGCCCCACAAGCCAGCCTCCGAGCAGCAGGACACTGGAAGCACAATTCCCAAATTCCATCCCAATCAGCCGACATGACGAGACGTTGAGAACTCTCGTCGGACACTCCGACCACTTCATGCCGTTTGGAATTATAAGGAAACTTCTCCACATGAACAAACGAAATCACTCCCGCAGACGATGAGAAGCAAGACCCAAGGGGTCATTCATCCAAGTCAACCACCTTTTGAACAGGACCCGCAGACCAAGACCAAGGCCCAACACAATAGCAGCCACACGCCTTGAACCAAGCTTGCAGGGTACCTAAAAGACTGCCGCGCGGAGCGCCATCAGCCCAGGGAAGACCTTTGGCACGAAGCTTGGAAACCATCTTAAGAAGACGTGACCCAATAAGGCAGAGCGTGCGCAGCACCACCCCAAACAATGGCCCGTAAAAACCTGTTAGCAGCCATCATGACACCCTGGACACGCCGGATGGCAAACCAAAGAGACCAGAGCTTAGCCATGCGCGGCAAGCCCGTGACCCACCCATACAAAATCTTGCTAAGGGCGTGGGACAAAATGACCCGAGAAGATTGGGAGAAAGAGAAACGACACGACCCAATCAAGTTGATGGTAGACATAGCAGCCACAAAACGATCAGCTTCCTTCTGGGTCAAAGCCCGACCCCAAGCGGCCGACAACCCCAGAATGGTAAATTCCTGACTGACCCTTTCAGACCTGACGAACTTGGACGACAGAGCCTTGTGACCGTAAGACGTGGTAGACGTAAGCTGAATCTTTTTAGGACTCTCACGGAGCCCCACCAACGCCGAGAAATCCTCCCTGCACGCAACCTGACGCAAAAGGCCATCACAAGACTGAGACAAAAACGACCGATCGTCCATAAACATGCGTGTGGGACCAACAGGAGTTTGAGAACGAACCCGCGAGAGGGCGGTAGATCACGGTGTCGCCCGAGAGGCCAAAAAGCGCCCCCAATGTGTGTGGCCCGACATAACAAACAACAAACATTGACACACAGAATGGCAACGCCAAGCATAACCAAAACACATAATATCTAATTAATAATCTAAAATATATCTATATATATATTTATACAATAGATACACAAGCACACACAACAATATATGGCAAGCAATGACACACTTAAGATAGGATTCATGTACGACCCAGCCCGGTTGCCCTGAAGAAGTCCAGGCAACCAAATCGCGTAAATGATCAAGTACAAAGTGGAGCGAGTCCAAGGAAAATTGAAAACATCAAGTGCAAACTCTCCAAGATTCACAGCAACAGGAGACACACTTACAACACACGTAAAACTACATTTTAGATACTTTACAGCACACCAGTGCAAACACGACAGCAAACCGAAAAAGGTGACACACATACACACATAATGACAGCACCAAACGTACCCACAACATGCGTCGCCGGTCACTCCGACCCAGCCATCCCACCAGTGTAATTGGGCGGGTGGGGTAGCTCGAAGTAAGGTCTTAGATGGTCTTAGATACCTGGATGCCCTATCATTTTCCAAGGATCCAGTGGCTCTCTTTCCATCTTACTCGCTTATCCAATCAAGTTCTGCCTGTGGGCTTCCACATGGCTCGGCCTAGGCCTATGCTGACTTATGTTCAGCCTGTGTGCTTGGATGCAAACTCAATGCAAACCTTGCCTGAATGCTTGGCACCCATCTACCCTTTCCGCCCAGACTAATCATTACTGTACTCGATTTCATTTGCCGACCACTGGCAGGACCCTCGATAAAACGTGGATACTGTTTGTGCTTTTTGGGCCTATTTTATTGGTTCAATTCGGAAGGTCTTAGTCCGCATGCCGTAACTCTATCAGGCGCTTTCTGACAAACACACTTTTCTCACAATGTGATCAATTCTCATGCTTCATGGACTCGCTTCTGCAAGAGGGGCCAACAAGTTTTGTAACCATTTTAGCATTTGAATGGGGGTACATTAAAGCTAAAAAGCGCGACAATGGTTGACTACAATTGCACCGTCACAACTGGGGAATTGCTCATCACATATGCACGGCCACCCACACAAGCGACACGTAGGCCAGTGCCAGTGTCTGGGTCTCTGGACCGACCACTGAATGTTACACGCAATTGCAAGGGCGCATGCATGGATTCAATCTTTGATTAAGGATTATAAAAATGCATCACAATGCAAGGAACGATATATGCATGATGATATGATATATGTGTTTGTTTTTTCCACTCAGGAGGGTTCGATCGCACTACTACCACGAAACAATGTGCGTACTCTCAAATGAACAGTTTAGTCTTCAAAGTAGCAAGCGTATCACTACGAAAGCAAATCACAGGTAGTGACAGGGGTGAACAATCATTTCCAGGGTGGCGACCCAACCAATTGAGTTTATCAATGTTTAAGTCCAACGTGAATGTGTATAATCATCCATGAAACAATCGATAGCTTGATAGCTTGCCCCTTATGCCTACCGAGGAAACTAGAGCCTGCATGTTGATGTGAGGCCAACTCGAACCGATCCAACTCTGCCCACCTCGACGCAAGCACATCCGTGACCTCTGTTGACCCGCGCAGCCCGCGGTCCCGTGACCCCAACGAGCGGCGTTGAAGACCGCAAAGTTAAAAAATGCCTCGGCGGGAGGTCCGGCGGTGATGGTCCGATCTCGGTGGAATCTCGGAGAGGCCTGCGGTGGTGATGACAGCCGTGAAGTACGGAGAGGATGGTCATGGTCCAAAATGCCGCTAGCTGAGCAAAGTGTCCCCTCAAATATTCTAGCAGTAGGCAGGCTTAAAGAAAAAGGCCAGAAACACTCGCACTCCAATTCAGGCTAAAAATAAGAAGACTCATGGCTCCAAACCTGCAAATCAAACAAACCTCATGATGGTCCTTTGACTGATGTACTATAGTATAGGAATCGAAGTTCAAGCTGTGTAGTGTAAGGTGAAGGGTTATATACTTTGGAGAGGTTGGAGGATCGTGCTAGCAATATGTTTGCGAGCTAGGTGCGGTGATGTGTGTCCCCTTCGTCTGACCTGGCACAATCTGCAGCATCCAATCAAATGATGAGAAGCGCCGCCCCCCCAAACATGGGGGGAAAAGTGTGCGCAAAACATGTACTAACATGCTGAAAACCACTGGTTTGGGAAAGTAAGTCGGCCTGCTGCTCAGCAACCCCTGTTCCTGGAGCTTTAGCACATAGGGACACCTAGCCCCTTCGTGACAAGTCCAATAGAAGAGTGGCCCAAACAGCGCCAAGATGCAATGTAAAAGAGGAAGGCCAAAATGCCGCCCTCGCCAATCTTGGCGACCTGCAGACCGTAAAAGCTCAAAGCAAGCAGGTTGCAAAGAGCTTCAGCGTCAGAATCTTGGGCAAATCTCGTCTTCATCTTTGCAAAAACAACCAACCCTCCCGAGGATATGGATGGATGGCCCAAATCATTTGCCGTGGCGTTCGAGTGGCTATGAGTCGCCCAAGTGGCGACTCTTTGGCCCAAGGGGCTAAATCTAAGGCCTCTTTCCAATCAAATCCACCAGTGGTTGCCTCAGACGTTGTGCGAGCATAGCATAGCACAACGATCATAGCAGAAGGATCGCGATCATCCGACATGAATCAGTAAAGGTCGAACGTTGCATGGGCCTGGCCTAGCATACCTTTTCACAGCGTGTCCATCTGCATAGCACTGACTACGCTTCCTCCCTCAAACAATTATGAAAGTTGAGCAGTTGAGCATAGGCCCCCGAGACCATGGCCATATTTATGTACAGGGAGGGTGGACAGTGAGAGGTCCATAAACAGGCGAGTGGAGCATCAGCGTGGTGTTTAAGAGTTGAAGTCACAAGGATCTTAACAAACATCTCATAGAAGAATACAATTGAAATTGAAACTTGCAGTAACTGGGTGTTTCTCCTGCGCTTCAGAACCTCTTGAACAAGTTTCACCAAACTATAGCCCAAATACTCCATGAATGGCACATGAACCTACATTGGGGCTGGTTTAAAGGTCAATGTAGGCATTCGCTCCATACATGGAGTGTATGCATGGGCAAGCAATGATCCTTTTCCCTTTATATTTGTTTGATCTTCTCTCTCTCTCTCTCTCTCTTTCTCCTCCGATGCACCCTTCCAAGCGCAGCTTCCTCCCCCGTGAGTCGAGAATTCAATGATTCAATGGCCCAAATCTGTATGGAAACAGAACCTTGACAAGTTTTTTCTTCATGATTCCAGACTGTGTCCTTCAGCTTTTCCATATCAACAGGTGGTACGGGACTTTGAACTAGAAACTAGTTCCCAGGGGCCCAGGGATCACTGTAGGTAAATGGACATGGCAAGCCTGACATATTAGGTCAGGGCCCTGACCTCGATTTTTCGATCTGTTTTCCACCGCTTCTTCCCAATGGATCGGTCCAGTCGCCATGTACAAGGTCTGCATGGTGAGCGCTAAGGACCCAAAGAATTCTAAGAACTTTGCCTCATCTTCCTCGGTCAAATCAAGTGAATCGAGTGAATGTAAGTGAACTCATGTGATTCATGCGCTTTCCATACTGTCAACCCGCACAGGGCACAGCACGTGCTTCAGTTTTGCTTGCTGGGAAAGCATGCCACTCTTTTCAGTCTTGCGATCGATGACTGACTGAACGCACGCAGATTCATCGGTTGGTTTGGACTGTCCCACATCATGTTGTCTTACCACAGTTGTCCGCTAGGGAGGCCACGCCTATGCTGACCAGGCATGATGTCCTTTGATCCAAGCAGTCTTCAGGCCAGGTTACTTCCAACTAAATTTGAGGCCAGGGTCCGGGAACTCCTCGAGGACCAAATAGTCCGTAACAATCTGCAGGAAAAAGAGTGCAAAAACGCAAATGACTAAGGAGACCAGCACCAAGCACCAAAAGAGCGCCTGACGGAGTTTGGGACGGAAGGCTGGGACGCAGCTGCTGGGAAAGTTGTTATCTTTCTTTGAATCTGCGCATTCACTTTGAATCGGAGTCTCAATTGAGGGCATATCCTGCAAGATGTAAATCAAGGGATTCCCATCTTCCGTGATTCTTGGCCTTGTTTCATCGTAGGCTTTGTAGCAATCTGGGGGACACGGACCTGTCACCCTGTTGCCCAATCAATGAATCATGCATGGACATGGGTCTTCCTTGCTGTCTGTGATGGAGCTTATGCAGTCGGTGGAGCCGGTGGACAGCCGGCTAACACTGAGACTGAAGGTCGTTCCGGCTAACCAGAGACACCTGGGCCTTGTGAGTGAAGCAAATGGACGAGAAATCGATCCCACCAGATTCAAGAAAGCAAGTTGCTCAAGTTGCATTGTGTGTGCGTCTCCCTGCTGTTGGTAGACCGACCCCATACGAGAAACACCTCTAAGGCAATCATGTCTTGTTGGGATAATATCACTGCAGTCCCAGCCGCATTCAATGAGCTCATGATGGAGAAGACCATCATCCGCAGCTCGCGGATCACGCGGATGGCGCGGAGCAGTCGGAGGATGCGTGAGACCCGCACCAAGCGCAACGAACGCATGTAGGAAAGGCCTCATGGATGACGTAAAGAAACTCTGGGTCGGACGAAGCTGAAGCAAAGGACCGTAGCAAGGAAACCACCCCATGATCCAAACAGCTGGAAGCTGAATGGTCAAATGTTCTCACTGCCAACCAGGTGTCAGTTGGGGTTTCGGATTGATGGTGTAGGGGGCATGTTTTCAATATAAATCCAATCCATAATCCATATATAAATCTGTATATAAATCTAATCCATAGAGTCTGTGTGGAACCGAGGTGCGGGTCACAGAAGACGCAGCCATGTATTCCAAGACCTGCTCCTGCACCGCAAGAACCACCAGGACAAAGTCCTGATCACCAGGCGCAATCTGCACATGTGTTGCATTTGCCATCTTCAGGTCTCTCAGATTGTTAATACGGCTCTTGACATTGAAGCAATTCATTATAAGGCACGTCTCTAACCTAAAAGAAATAAAGAACCTCCAGTTCCAGACTCCTTGTTGTTTAGCCATACCCTATAGTGATCCTACAGCCAGGACCCCACCTCCTATTAACTGGAAAGATCTGGAAAGTCTTCCATTTGTAGATGGTGTTTGCTATATGCTGGACAATCAGCCCTGTCAATTCCATCTTCTTCCTCTCTCAAATCATGACTGATGAACATACAACGTTCTGATACTCTGCCTGGGCCTGACAAAGTATGGCTTACAACCTCCAGTTTCCTCTCGAAATCCGTTGCAATCCCAGGAGCAAAGACATTCCATCGCCAATCGGCCGTCCAAAAGAAGTACTGCCTGCCACATGGTATGCGCCACAGGAGCGAGAGCAAAAAATGGACCAGGATTGCAACAAACATACGGGTGCTGTGATCACTGGTCATCTGCTTCGGGGTGCTTCGTGCCGCAGCATGAGTTGCAATTCTTCCAAACTGTTGATTTCATGCTGGAAACCTGGAGCAACCTTTGTATGCAAAAACATGTCTGTCATACCAACATCATGCAATGCTATTGTTGTGTTCTTTAGGGGTCTTGACCTGCACCCGGCGCAGCGGGGCACAAAACGGACTACACGGCACACGCTCCAGTTCTTCAATTTTGGGATTCCAATGTTTGATGAAGAGGTCACTCTTGCATAGTCTATGGCGGAAATTTGTGAGAACACTAGTATGGCAGAAACTTGCGGACTGGAAATTTCAGCATATTGAACACCTCACAAACACTTCAGCTTGACCAGGCTATTGTTTGAAGCCCAATCCTCGGCAGAAACCTGAGAAAATTAGTTACAGTATCAGGGTGCATTTGTGGTCCTAGAATTCTCTCCGTGGAGGCCCTATCATAGCATGTGTAATGTTTTCCCAAATATTGCTCTTTTTCTCCAGCAGACTGATATGCGAACCCACCATGAGACCAAGAACCAAGCAGCAAACTCACCACGACCTCACCTCTTGTCCTGTCAAACCGGTCTCGAACGTGTCAACACGGTGATGACAGCATCCGCCGAGTATGCCGAGCCTATGCACTGCAAGCTTCAAAAACAGCTCGACGACCTCAACAAACATCGCAACGGCTAGGAAGGTTGGGGGGACCCTATCTGAAACACCGACATCGAACTGTCAACCTGCCATAGTGGAAAGGTGTTCCTGGTCAGCTCGATGCACCTGCTGCTTGGGCGAAGGAGGTCGTTCGAACTCTTCACATGCCTGCTGGTGCCCAGTCTGAATGTTCTTGTTGCAGCCCGAATGTCCAAGATCCTCCAAGTTATCGAAAGCCCCGGATGTCCGCCCGGATGTCTGCAAGGCTCCCAAACGCAAGGCCCTCCCTGAACTCCAAGGCACATAAAAGCTCGTAAAGGACCTGAGAAGACAGTTCAGCGTTTACTTCCGTATGGCTTAGTGCAAGAAGTTTGGTAGGGAAAGCGCCAAGCACTGCAGCTCACCAAGCGGATATCAACATTATCAACCATATGTTCTTTGCATGTCACCGCTCGAGTCTTTGGATGTCCCAAGAATTCGATCGAACATTTGGAGCTTGCACAGCCTTACGCTGAAGGAACATTCCGACCGCGAAGAGATAAAACAGCTGACGCACAGGGGCAGTCTTCCAAGCAAAAGCTGCTAAGTATCATGTCTCACTTTGTTTACACAACCCAGTGTTTGGCTTAGACATGCTTATACTATCTTATACTTACGCGATGCAGCGTTATGACACAACTCTGATATCTCAAGTTATCTCATGACCTATATGTCACCGTTCCATACCGTTCCCACCGCTGCCACGTCATGAACCGTCGGATGGGTCTGCGGAAACTTGACGGGATTTCAGGATGAAAACCATCTGTCTGCCAGCCACAACGTAGTGCATCCATTGGTGGGGAACCACGTGGAACCTCCCCACCAACTCCCAAGTTACATGCTACAGTAACACCCACGCTCAATCATCCGTCGAGGGTGTGCGCATTGTGGGACACACCCTTCTGTTTTCTGCGCGCAACTGTTCGGCTAAAACACAAGTCCAGAAATCGCAGCTCCAAGGGAATCTCAAAGCTCTTGTGCTCCATCGCCCAATTCCTGAGCCATCGACCGACCCCATTTCTTGCATGCAAAAGTCTGTTCGACTGTAAATCAATCAAGGCCTGCCTGGTGGTGCACACAACTACTTTAGGGAAGGGCCCTAGGTTGAAAATGGATCACAAACAGAAGGGGCATCGCAACGACAGGCTGAGACGGAGAAGAAAACCTCCTTCTTCACGCCGGTACCGTGAAACGACGGATCGCGGTGCTGTTTTTTGCAGAACAAGGGGCGCTGAGAAGAACAAGGTGAGGCAGTTGGCCAAAATCACCACGGTGCAGACCTCGGTGCTGACTGCCAATCCTGCAACAACCACCTCTTGGTCAAAAAGGCTTGAGTGTCTTGGGACCATGCGAGGGCAAATGGGGGGAACGTCTTGCACTCCTCACTCCAGAAATGAAATGAGGTGAATCCGCCAGCTTAGGGCTTCGGCGTTGGACCTCCTCCGCACCCAACAGTCGGGGTCCAAACTCCACGGGCTTCGGCGGCCGCCTCTTCACCGAGCGGCGAACTGGAAAGACGAGGAGTCGACACAGCGCGCCAGGCAGCCAGTGCGAGGTGGCTCGTGGAGGCTACGGAGGTACTCCACCTGATGGCATGTCGGGGTGTACTGAGCGCCCTGAGCGCCCTTTGGCTCCTCACCGATGTCACCACCCCCATGCTGGGAAAGGATACAAACAAGCACATACCTTCTTCTCCATCCACAAGCCCCCCCCTTCTTTATGAATGGACACTGGCGCGAAAAACACTTTTGTTATTGCGATGCTATGCTCATTCAAGCTGGAGAGTGCGCGTGTTTACACGTTTCTTTTGGCCCCAATGCACTTCAAGGACTTGCAATTATCATTTGCCTCCCTGAGCCACATGACGCCAGTCCCTGCACACCTTGCACGAAACCTGGGATCGAATTATGAGCTCAAAAAAGCAACGATGGACGATCCAATTTGGAATGCAATCGACCTATGAATGGCGATATGGGTTCCTTTGTCATGGCTGGATGATGAGAACATGCACCAAAACCTGCCCTCACCACGCTACAGCGCCTTCGTGATGCCCCGCTCCAGAAAGGATCCTTGGACTTCGGTGACAGTTCGCATGGGGGCGCTCTGACATGCTGCAAATGCACATGAAACAGATGAAGGATCCGCTGGTTTATCTACTTCTTGCGTTGCTCACGCGAAGTTCAGTCTGCGAAGGGGCGTAGGGATGCCAGGGTATCGGACACACACTTCGAACACAGGAATGGAGCAAATGGAAAACAACGAACGCAACATCTCACACCATTCTGTGTGGCACTGAATCCAATCTCTTGAACTTCATATTGATTTACTTCACTTCGTTGCTAAGAACATGTTCACTGTGTGTGTGTGTGTCCAACCCTGGACAAAGGGTTTCTACCACCACTCTTTCTACTCTACATGAGCAGGGGGACAGAGCTCTCTGATGCTACTCTGTCCAACGAAGCTAGGCATCAGAGAGGGAAGCATCCACTGGCCATGGATGTGTACCTGCTTTAACGGTTGAACAAGCTGTCCAATTGACCTTGTTTGTTTTCATGGTTCTTCGTGATACATCCCACAAACCCACCGCAGCCTTACAGCCGACTTGCAGCCGCGCTGAGTGTCCGATCGTCTTTTCGAGTGCCACTGCAAACAAAGTTAAACCATACTGTTTTCACTGACCTTTGCGCCCTGCGGTTCTTCGCCTTTCTTCCCAACGTGATACTTGCATTAACTGAAAATCCAAGTTCGAAGTGTGTCCTGCTCAGCCGTCCCACTCGGGTGCTGAGTGTGATCCCCTTCACAGGGGCGCTGTTTTTGCATGGGAAAGCAACCACCCCAACGCTCCACCGATCACTGGAACCTCACAGGAAGGCACCGACACCCCCACAGAATCAACCGACACACCGGCCGCCGGGCCAAAAAACGGTTCTTGAAGAATCTTTCAGATTCCGAACTTATGATCTCAGATTTCAGCATTCAGTGTTCTTTTCATGGTTTCCAATCATGTGCGTGTTTCCTTGTTCGCTATGTTGCTGCCGCGATTCTTTCATTGACAGAACTCAAGGATGAGCATTACGACTCTTCAGCTTAATTCGAGATGCATGAACACACAGCTACTAACAAGCTTACATTTAACACCACCTTACAACATACTCACCACTGACACCAGAGATGACACATTCAACAACAATGACCAACCACAAGACACTACAACTCGGCATTTCTCCGCTGCTGCTGCGCTGCGCCGCGCCGCGCCATAGCTACGACCACGACATGCAGTTTCCGTGGCCCTACGCTCACGCCACGCCACCACCATTACCTACCACACAACCTCAACCCACATGGCCGATGCCACAAGCATCAACTGCACCCACTTTTCCCTCGACACAACCATCGGCATACCCTCACCCACAACCGCAACCTTTTCAACCACCACCGTTGTTGCCCACCCCTACCGCCACTGCACTGACTTACGGCACACCATCCACTTGGACTTTTGTCCACCCATGTCATGTGCCACCGCAACCCACACATCCAACTCCGGTGTTTCCGACAGCAGCACCTCCCCCGTCCTACCTGTTGCCATCACCTCAACCCACGCCGCCGGCTGAACTCACTCCCCCCACTACACTGACACATCTCCCTCCAACACAGCAACAGCCTACAACTGCCAATTATCCATCCACAGACCCCCAATGCGCCATCCCCCAGGGCGTTTGGCAACCCTACTCAGCCTTTCCACCTGTCACACAGCCTTCGCTCCAACCGGGGCCCCCGCCACCGCCTCCACAAATTCCCAATGCCTCAACGCCAACCCAACCTCCATTTCAACAGCAGCTACCATCGGATCCAACACCACCGATCCAACCCATCCCCACGACTGCCCAGGACAATCCACTGCCAGTCCAAAACACACCTCCACCAGCCACCGTATCCCAACATTCAGCATCCCCCTCGCTGGTATCTGCCACACCAGCACCTGGAACTTCACTACCAGCACCAGACAAACCTGACACCACTGCCTCACCAGCACCGCAACCACCTTCCCCACCACCACCACACAGCAGTCGCCGTCACTGCCACAAGAGCCGACGCAAGTCCGGCCATCACCACAGAGGACGCCACCGCCACCGCCGCAGACATCGCCATCACCGCCACTCCAAACACCACAGCTCAACCCGGCGACGGCGGTCGCCCTCAACATCCACCTACACATCTAGCCTCACACCATCCCGCAGTCGGTCACCACCACAACCCATTGATCTACGCCCAAACACCGAACACACCAACCCTGACCCTTCACAATATCCCACCACAGCCGCCATTCGTCGCCCAATCAACCGTTGGCGACCTCCACACAACTTCCACACCTTCACACCTGCAGACCAAATCCTGGAATGGCTCGAATTCCACGCCACCCAACTCGACAACCCCAACCGACCACACCACCAGTACATTGCCAATATCCTCACAGACTGCAACATCACCTACAAGGAGATCGCCGATTTCCGACAATATACCCACGCTAAGTGGAATGACACAACTCACCAATACGATCAATTCCAGTACTATGCCATTTCACTTCCCTTCCTCAATACCAAAGCCACTACACCAGAGCCACCTGCGGTTTCCCGTGCCACATCAACCCACCGGGAAGTCGCCCACATCAACGCAGGCCACACAGGCCCCGTCGGTAACATTTCCAACATTCTACGCCAAGGCCGGTTTTTACCCAGCACACTCCACTTTGCCAACTACCCTGGCTTTTTTGCCCAGGGCGTTCGCATCACCCACAACCAACCCCATGACCACAACGAGCTTGCTCGCATCATCCACAATACCTGGCAACTCAACAAGAATTCCCATTCCCTTATCATCACACTCCTTGCGTGGGGTGCTGCCACAAAGTATTGGGTGATCCACCCGGACCACGCCATTGTCAAAGGACTGGCCTGGTCCACCAACTCCACTCCACCGGACCCATAACGCCAGTGCCACACATCCACACACCACTACCACCTCCACATCAACTTTTGGTTTCACACCACCACCCACCTTTTGCTGTAGCAGCAAAAAAGAGCCTCCTGCAGCAGCCACGGGCATTTTGAACCCTCCATTTTTCTAGCTTCACAGTGTTTGCTGCGCCTTTTTTGATTTGTATCGGCCGTTTTGAAGGAGTCTTTCACATGTCAGATTCTGCATCTTGGAGAGTGATTCTTCTAGTCATGTACTCCTTTGTCCAACCAGCATTGCATACTCGCATTTTTGCCTGTGGGAATTTGATGCTCGCTTAATTCATATGCATGGCCTCGAAATGACGTGCTCCCTCAGACTCGCCGCTTTCCGGCTGCTTTGGCGCGCTGCCGCAGCAACCTGTGACGATTCTTGACTACTGTACACCCCTACATCTCAGACCCATGAGTAGCACGCCGACACCTCTACAAAACGACACCTCCACTCTCCTACACAAAACCGCAGTGGCACTTTCGCAGGTCCACAACCTGCTTCGACAAGCCACAGATATTGTAGCACACCTCCACACAGTTTTCCTCCACCACAGCCACCAAGCAGACCCCACTTTCCGCCAACACTTCAGCCACTTCCAGCTCCACCCCATTACCCCATACGTTTACCATCCACCACCTCATCCTGTGACTCAGCGCCATCCAGACCACCCACCCGTTTACCCGCACCACTCTTACAAGACTCAGACGACACTCCAACAACACCCCCAGCTCCACAACCCACCACAACACGCAAGCGGAAGCAACCACCCCCACCACCACTCAACCAACAGGCCGATTGGGACGCTTGGGACGGCGACGCTGACTGTCGCCTTATCGAACTCAAGGAAAACCCAAAACTTCGTCCCAACTGGACTACTGTGGCCCGCCGAGTGGGGTTCTCCGTTGCACAATGCCAAGCCCGATGGCAAGAACTCAAAGACATGCAACGACAGCAAGACCAGCAACTTTCCTCCACATCACTACCCACTGCACCACCAAGACAAGCACCTTCCCCCTCACCAACACCCACATCACCAGCAGTTTCCCCAGCACCACATTCACAACCAGATTTCTCCCCTTCCCCCACCACAACACCACCGACTTCACAATATCCAACGATTCCTGCTGCTGCGCTGCTGCCGCCGGCTGCTGAGCGACCGCTTAGTGAGGACAGTCGTCCGGAGAAATCTCCACTCACGCATGGGCAGTTATTTCATTTGATCCGTTTCACCCACCTTCCTTACGGCGTGCCGCGTGACAAATCCACTGACACGCATAGTCTTTTTGTTCTTCACATCCAGACTATTTTGCCCACCTTAGTTTTGTCAGTTTTCAGGCTCACCTCAGCTCCGCAGCCTTTTTTACGCCACTACAGTCCATCACCTGTCATGGCCCATCCTCGCGCTCGCCCTCATAGCAACCCCGATGATACACAACACTACCTCCCACAGAGCCCTCCGAGCTGGCTCCAACCTTCGATTTGCACCCAACCAGATTTTCAATCCCTCAACGGCTCTCTGGACATCCTCTCTATGGTCAACCAACACCTCCGCCGTCACCCATTCCACACTGAACCTATACCAAGCTGGACTTACTTTCAGGACCAGCGAGCATACAACCTCCTCTACCGACTGCGCAACGACCTGATCTTGCTGGACCGCCTGATTGATGACCTCTCTCAGGCTCGTCGACTCCTTCAATTTGTTACCACCGGCCCCGGGCTCCCAGGACAATACCGCATCAGCCCCACAGCCACACTCTCCAGCAGGAACCTGGCTATTATCCACAACATACCGCCAGGTTGTCCACTACCACCCGGGCTTTCCAGCCGTTCACCCTCTCCTTTACCACGTACCCCACCACAGGACGCAGCCCGCCTGCACTCCTATTGGACGGGCCCTCCACCACAAACCACCCCGACAACCCACACCAACACTACCACTCACACTAGGGAACGTTCACGGTCCCGCGACAGCCTCTCACACCACATGGGCTAACTACCGCAACATCCAACCTCCACATCCACGGCTGCCACCGCGCTTTTGTGCCAACTCTGTGACAGCATCCACGCCCACAGCTACTGTTGTG